TCTCGTGATGTTCCAAACAAATCAGAAACAGGGAGAGAGAACAAGAAAAAGAAGACTTGCTCTTATTCCAAAAATGCTCCTCTTGTTAAGACCACACCGGAATGGGACATCCGCCAACAGCTAATGCTGCCTGAATGGATGATTAACATCCCTGATAATCTGAGTCGAAATTGGTACGACTTGTTTTCATTCTTGACCTTTGGTGTTAACTTTCTTTCTTGCTGTTTTATGGACTTTGTGTTTATGCCTCCGTGATGATATGAAATTGCTTTCTCCTCTATTATTTCTGTCATCAGAATAGCTACTGAGAAGAAATTTGGTTGGTTTTAGGTTTGTGTTAGCAAGACCAGCTGGAAAAAGATGCTTTGTAGTTTCATCAGATGGAACTACGGTTAGTAGAGTACGAGATGGATCCATCTTGCATCGTTTCCCTTCTGCATTGCCTGGTGGCTCCAGGAAGAAAGGCACTTCTGGCCCCTCACAGTCATATACTATACTAGACTGTATATTTCACGAGGTGGAAAATTCTTCTTCTTTTTTTTCCCTTTATCTCTAGTTTATTGGTTTATCAATGTTGTTGATCTTACTAGGAGGTGGTTTATTACTGTTTAATGCAGCCGGATCAGACATACTACGTGATTGATATGATTTGTTGGAGAGGTTACTCGCTTTATGAATGGACAGCAGAGTTCAGGTTCTTTTGGGTGCAATCAAAGCTTGCTGAGATAGGTGCTTGTGATCCGCCTTCCTTTTACCACAAGTTCAGGTTCAGTACAGTTCCTTTCCATAACTGCGACCAAAGCGGACTTCACTCAGCTTATACAGGATCACTACCTTATGTCAAGGATGGATTGTTGTTCTATAACAAGTAAGCGTGTCATTTAAATAGTTCTTCCGGTCTTAGCAAATTCGTATCAGAACATTTGGTTTTGATGAATGATGGTTATATAAGAAAGAGGACAGATCTTTTGTCCTGTGTCTTGTGAATGTTATTATATGTTATCACTGGTTGCTTCATACTCGCGGAATTATCATATGATGTAAATGTCTTTGAAAATGTACTCTCTCATTGGTCTAGTGCTCTTCTTTGGCACAAGGATTTTAAATATCATATGGATCAATTTATTGCCATGCCATTTGTTTCTGGCCAATTGAGACATATCTCATCATCATCATTCCCCACTAAAGTTCATGTAATACTTGCAGGCAAGCACATTATCACACTGGAAATACTCCTCTGGTGTTGATATGGAAGGATGATAAGTGTAGTCAATGTGTCATGGATACAGATTACGATGGAAAAGTTCCAAAGCAACATGTAATCGTCTTGGAGTTGGAAGATGATGGGAAGCTGGTAACCTCAGATGATCCACCTGTAGCACTTAGTTGCCTGAACGAAGAAGAGGTATTTTGTTCAACGAAGAAGAGTGATTCGCTTTTGTGGTTGTTGTTTGTTTTCTCCCTTTACATTTTTAATCTTCCAAAAACTCACCATCATTGTTTGCATGAACCAGTTTTATGAATTTACCATCTTCTATTAGAGTCATCTTGGAAGTTGCAAGTCCATTGGTTGATTTTGCCTAAGAAGATTATTATACTACCAACTCTGCAGCTTGTTTGCGTCTAGTTAGTGATGTTGTTTAGCAATCTCTTGGTGCTAACTGTGTGTACTTCTTGTTGCCTTAATTACAGTCATCAGGGCTACCTTCAGGAAGCCGTGTTCGCGTTGCCGCTGTCGATGGAGGGCTCAGCTTGGTGGATGGTAGACTTGAGAAGGCGAATTTGCAATATATCAGTGTGTCAAACAGAGCTTTTGCTGATAGCTATTCCAAGGTTTGTACTCTCTTTCTTTTGAAATTGCATTACCATCTTTAGAAAAATACCATGTTTCTGAGCATTTGCGATCCATCCTCCTACAGATCATGTTCCAACACAAGGCCCGGAATTCTCCCCTGAAAATAGAAGATCTCGCAGCAACGATTTCACATGAGAACCAGCAAGAAGACAAGTCCCCCTGAATATGGAAGAGACTAGTGAAAGAGTAACTGTGCTCTGCGTTTTTTTGCAAACTTTTTGAAACTTAAGCTACCTCTTTTTGGCTTCTCACACCCAATGCTTCTGTCTTGAAACCATTGCTTATACTGTCTACAGAAACCTATGTTCAAATATCTAGTTCAAGAAACCTATGAATGTTCTTTGATTCAAATAGAACATACATGATAGATCATCAAGAGGGAAAAAACAGAGTCTCTAGTCACACTCGTCATATAATATCACAGTCTCGACATGATAACTTAGAGCCTTGTTACCAAAGCTATTATCTTGAAAACTTGTACAAAAAAAACACAATCCACTTAACAATCCAAAAAGCAGTTTAAACTATGTCAGAGCATAAATATAGTGATCCATATTTTCAAATGGATCTCGACTTATATACTACTGACTTAATAGAAGCTTAATACTCATTAGAGTAGGACTCGAGCAATTCTCCTGTGCCCGCCAAGGCCTGTGCTGCTTTAATCTAAACATTTGTCAAACTTGAGTTCAAGCAATCCCGTATTCTGGTTCATGGTTCTTCTTACTACAACAAAGCGATAACGGGGAGGCTTGCAAACATGAACCTTACCAACTCGGCTGGCTTGACCTTTATTCCGGCGGTACTTGTACTTAATGTAGAAGGTTGCATTTCTGGCCTTGAGTCTCTCATTTGGCCGCTCCACATTTTCGTCAGTTTCTACGGCTACCTTCACAATGGCCAATCTTGACAGCTTAGGCTGCAACAAGAATCAATAAAGACTCGAGTCATATTCTTCTCGGGTCATTCATTCATAGCCACTAATAGAAAAGGTAAAAATGAAAAATCCTTACCTTCTTAATCTTGGTATTTTTTTTGAGGAATGCAAGTTCCATGTATAGACGAATCCAATCATGATTAAGCAGGTCTAATTTCTTAACCTGCAAAATCAAACACGCATAAACTACACACCGGACTGTCAATGAGCCAAAAGCAAAGAGCAAAAACTAGTGCCAATCTTTACCAAGTAATATCGGCTTTTATCATGGAAAGCATTCTCTGACGGCCACTCGGGAATTATAAAATCGGCTTCTTTATCTACCGATTCTTGATTCAAGGATTTTTCCTCTACATAGTTAAGTCACACACAATGTATTAAGCAAGAATACATATGGTTTTTTTCTACATAACTAAGTCACAATGCAATCAAGCAAGAACCTTAACCAAAACACAAAAATATTACCTTGTTTTGGTTCGAATTTGGGTCTAGCAATATAACAAGACAGTCTCTTGTACATGTCATATCGTTCTTCAACAAATTTGGTTTGAAAAGGTACAAGGGAACCACCAGAAGCTAAATCTTTTGCAACCAAAGTTATAGAGTAACATGAAAAGAATGGTCTATGATGAACATTGTATTTCTCCACGAAACTGAGCTGCAAGTTTTTACCATGTACCATATTGTACCTATGGATCCCAAACTTGGCATAAAGAATGATTTGGTCCGAGTAATCACCATCATCATAAAGATGAAGGGAATAAGAACGTGGTTTTATATCCATCAAATGCTCCACATCGAAACCCTGAGAGTTCAGATCCAGACAAGTTATCAACCTTAAAGAGCACACACACACACACATATATATTATCATACTTACACCAGATTTTGCCAATAGTATCTTGAACTTGATCAACTCATCGAATTCCCGATCAGAAGAAGAATCCATTGTTATTGTCACCAAAATTTCTCAAAAGGTTAGATGCTGATGCTTCTTATTTCATTAGGTTTCCTCCGTCCTAAATTGGGCCTTTTCGGCCCTGAATTGGGCCCAGATCTATAGCCCAGATCTTTATTCTTGGTTAAGATTTGATTTTAGGTACATATATTTCGAAAAAAGAAAAAAAAAACGCCAAATTCAACTATCCCGAAATAACCGAAAATTTACAAGTTCGTTTCCTCGTCAAGATGCAGCATCTAGATGCAGCATCTAGATGAAGTAATCAGATGTTATTCATTTTTGTCAAATTAAAATGTGTGTCTAGACTCTAGATACATTCTAGATGTAAAATGAAACTCAGCCAAAATTTCTAGATATTTTGGATGAGTTTGAAAGTAGAGTTTGGATACACTAAACTCATACAAAATTACAAAAGTAAAAAATGTCCTTATT